GTGAAACGGCGCTGAGTACGCCGTATACACCTTCCCTTTGCACTATTCTCCAAATAAATGAATAAAAATAAAAATCCCCTGGTGATCATCCTTTTCCTTTCTCTGAAACAAGCTGTGTTGTTCTGCACCAAGCATCACCTCACATATGTTCGCCAGCGCTGCCCCCTGGCTCCATCTAAGTCGGTGATATCATGCTGAGTACGCCCTGCACGCCCTAGAGAACTCCCATGACCGCCCGTTCTCTTTGCGCCTTGCTCTCTGCCACATTCCAAATGTGGTTATCCGACTGAGCTATTCGTCCAAGCTATCCGAACTCAGCCCGAAGTGTTGGAGGGGGCAGGGTGCACCAGGCACGCTTCCCGTGAGCGCACCCAGTCTCTTCCCCTGTTTGCTCCGCTGGCTCGGCTATATGCGGACTGCAGCGCCGACCGTGGCCCTCTCCAGGTCGAAAGTACCTACAAAAGCAGGCCCACAATCCCGGAATAGTGATGGCACCGGCGCAGTGGAACCCAAGCAAACTCAGTGGACCCAACCGCAGGGCCACCAATGACGCGGGTCCAATTCCAGTACCAGGGCCCCATACTGCAGGGCCTACGGTCATTGCCATAATTCAGCACAACTGTAACATTAGATTGATCTCCGTGACCAAAAAGGTTGTACCGCGCCTGCAACCGAACCAGTAACAACACCTAAAAAAAATAATGAACCCCGGAGTAAAGGTCGTGCCAATCAACACAAGTGTCATGCCCGTGGTCGAGCTAGCAATCATACCGAAAAATAATGAACCTTGGAGCAAAAGTTGTTCCATCCCGCACAAGTGTCGTGCCTGTATCAATTAGTCCCCATGTCGGATCTAGACCATATATTGAATCGGTTACCGTACCGGAGTGACGTGGCAGCCCGCAAAGTTTTGTCCCAATACCAATGTCGAACCTGAAAGAAATGTGATCAGACCACAATGTGCGGCCCAGTGCTATACCTGCGCCGAATCAGTGTATCGTGCCTATTCCGATCCAGCAGCCGTACCAGACGAAAGTAGAATACCATACCGTGTCGCAAATGTACCACATCAGTACCAAATAAATAACATCATCGCACATGTTCCGAACCAGTGTCCCGTGCCAAAATAATGAAGCCGCGTGTCCCATCTCGTAGTAGAACCAGTATGCAGCGGGCCTTCATCTGCCCTGGCCCACAGCCAGGGCCTATTTGGCTATTTGCCAGTCCGGCCTGTGGGACCAGACCGTGGCCTGACCCCACAGGCCGTGCGGTTATTCAGTCCAGTCCAGTCCTGCCCGGTACCACTGTCGGTACCAGGCCAGTCCAGTCCAGTCCAGTCAGTCCGCTGGGGGTATACCCCAACTGCA